TTCGCCATGGCGCAGCGTTTAGCACCAAGGCTTGCCATCGTTCACAGACCCTTACTCTACTGTCGATACATACACGACTGCTTCATCGTCTGTTCCACACAAGAACAGATGAATGAGTGTTTTGAATTGTTAAACCGACAGTCAGAGTATATAAAATTTACATGAGAAAAACCTACCGAGAACTGGCTTCCATTCTTAAACATCTAAATAAAGCTCTCAGAAAGTGACTGTGTAACAAAATGGTATAGCAAGCCAAATAGTAAAAACATTCTAGTTCACTGCCTCTCCTCTCATCCTTCACACATGAAAAAAGCACTTATCAAAAACATGTACCGTACGGCTAAAAAAGGGGTACAGGAGGAGAGGAAAGTAAGGAATCGCAAAACCTGGCACGAAAAATTGCCACTTCCAATGGCTACGAAGTAGAAGCCACTCGGGTTAGAGGAAAACGTTGGGTAGTTTCCCAAAATAATATTTCAGACGACAGTAGGATCTCCTTTAAGTTGCCCTTCATATCAAATAAAGTAAGTCACGCCATTAAAAAGTGCTTAAGAAAAAGTGGTCTTAAAAATTATGTAACGATTGTTGACATCCCACCCAATACCCTGCGCCGTCAGTTAGTTCGTAACCGTCCCTATGATCGTCTGTGCAGCTCAAAAAACTGTATGATCTGTCCTAACGGGAGAGACGGGGATTGCATGAGTTTAGGTATACTATACTTGATCTCATGTAATGCATGCGGCGAGGAGCATATCGGGGAAACGGGCAGACCACTTTGTGCCCGCATAAAAGAACGTCTAGATGGAAAAGCTAAAAACCGTTTAAACACCTCTCTAGGTACGCATAGGGCACAAATGCACAACGGCGATGATTTTGAAGTGAATATACGGACCCTAGCTCAGGAATCGAAAACATCAGCGCGCAAAACTCTTGAGGCGTTTTGGATAAATTTCAAAAACCCAAAGATGAACCAGAAGGACGAATGCCTCACTAACACGCGTGACCTGGCGCCCTATTTAAAAATGATATTTTGACCCCGGGGCGTGTCTTGCTCGCGACTTCACGTGAACTACGTCCAGTCCCGCACGTAACACCACGGTAAGTGGCCTTTCTGTTCAATATGGCGTCTATTTGAAAGTTTGATCTTCATTAATACTTTGACCTTTTTTTTCCACCGAATAATAAAAATATTCTAATATAAAATACGTCTAGGCTCTGAGGAAGGCGAAGTCGCCGAAACGTTGGCCATCGACCAAAAACATCAATAACAACGACAACGACAACGAAGACCTGTACCAACCTCGCGTCAGCTTAAGAAGACCAGTTTAGAAGATCATATAGATAAATATATAAACATATCAACCTCGTGTAAGCCGAACAATGTAAACAAACTATTTTATTAAGTGAGATCGACACTACTCAAAACATTATCAGCACTATACTATGTAGGCTGAAGATTTTGTGATACATGTTAAATATTAGTACCATAGAAACACACTTTTAAATAAATGAAAACTGAGACAATCAGCAACTCGGAAGGCCATTGATAAGTTATAATAGACTCTATGGAAATTAAAACAATCATGGGATAAAAAATCAAAAGAGCACCCGTGTCATCAAATAGTGTACAATACACTGGAATATGAACATGATCGGCTGTTTTCTCGAGAAACAAGTGCGAGGTTGTTACCATACTCATCATTCTTAGAAGCGAAAATCTCGACAAATTTCGCTCTTTTCGGAGCTTTGAAAAGTCAGTTTGTGAGTGATATCTAATCGGCCAAATAACTCGATAATCCCAATAGAAGAATTATCAAACCTAGATTTCGTTCGCGTTGGAAGCAAAGCAGCTTACTCGAACACTCACCGCTTTCCACGAAGTCCTCCACTGAGTATGTCACGTGAGTGATGTGGAGACCGATCGCACAGAGTTCACATGGAAGCGTAATGTGCCTTTCCCATATTAAAATATCAGCCTTAAATATTTTGCGAAATCACGCGTGATAACAAATCATTCCACCTTACAGTTCATTTTTGGATTTTTTAAGTTTAGCTGGAACACTTCGAGAGCTTTTCGATTCCCTGCGGGGGTGGTAACTTCCACTTTGAAACCTTCCCACGCATAGAACACAGAAACATAACGGAGAAGAATTTGAGGCAAAAATTAACGCCGTCAAACAGGAATCGAAAATTTTAGCGCGCAAAACCCTCGAGACAATTTGGACATATCCTAGGAATCCAAAAATGAACTGTAGAGAGAAATTCTTTGTTATCACAAATGATCTCACACAACATGTGAGAATGATATTTGAATGTGAGAGAAGGGAACTACACATCTTTGTGAACTTTCCACCATTGGTTTATACATGGGACGTTCAGTGGAAGACTTATAGAAAGCGATAACTGCGCGAAGAAGTTAATTCATTTCCAATGCAAATGAAACCTAGGTTTCGTAATTTGTGGTTATCAAGCTGTTTGACTGAGTCAATTGTAGTCAGCGTGTCTTTTGCAGGCCCGGAAGAAGCGAAATCAGTCGAAACGCCAGGCTTTGTGAATAAAGAGCACAGTAACAACCTCCTATGTGCTCGTTAAGAAAAGAGCGAATCATTAATCAATGTCGAGGTTAGTAAAAAGTTCGTTTTGGGAAACACCAAAGACATAATACTACACTTTTACTATCGTAGAGCACTTAAAGAGGAGACAACGCTGGACATTGACGTTCGCCGATTCGCACAAGGCGGATGCAGACATGTGCTGCTGTCGTCATCTGTCCACCAGCGACGCGTTCGGAATCGAAGCGACCTCGACATTGCTGTGAGACCGTGATTGTGCTCGGCCAAAACACATAATATATACCTAAAAAGAAATGCTCAGTGGTGATGCTAAGTTGCCAGTACGGTTGACGTCTTTCGATGCTTGGTCTACCTCAGAGTGGTTGAACAAAAAAAAGTCGACATTTGATGAGCAAAGAATATCATTAGATCGATATCGACATAGTCGTACATAATGACTGAACGATTGGGCCCATATCTCAAGCCAACCAATCTGTGTACTATTTATTTAAGAAATTAGTGTGTAATAGACGTATAAACACGCGTTAGGTAACAACTACTTTTTGCTTCAGCTTTTTGTTCTGGTTCCAGCATTAGGTCGCATAATGAATGATATTTTCGACTAAAAATCAGTCTTTATGACAACAATGATGCTTAGATATTTGCAAAACTCCGGACAGCAGGTGTCTGCGGTGCAGACGAACGCGACATTGTCCTTTCCGGGGAGTAACGCGTTCACCACCACACCATGCGGGTCCTTCGTTTCATCTGTGTTTTAGCTAGTTCTATAGATCAGTGCCACCAGCAATCATCCGTCAGTGGGATTGATCTGCGGAGCGAAATCGGCAATGAATCCAGTTAAGCTGATGCTGTAGTCGAAATCACAATCAGTTTCCATATTTATGGATAGTTTAAAGACGTGGCTACTTAAAGGGGCCAAGAAATAGAAATTTTTTCGCGTTGTCATAATAATGTTTCGTAGTTTTGCTAGAATTCAACCGAATCCAAAAAACACTGATTAATGGTAAAAACAGGTTCACAACCTGTAACAAGAAATAATGCGTGAAAATAGGGCTTTACGAAAATAAATAGTACTGATGAAATATGAGGCTTGTTCTAAATTGCACTGCTTCTCACTCTACATAGTAGCTAAATGAATCAGCGATAATAATAGATAAAAATATTCATAGCTAGCTTCCTACTTATGAATTTAGAAGTCCTTTCGTTAAGACTACAGCGAGCTCCTATCTCATCGTTTATTTAGCTGGATGGTTTGACTGTAGTGTAGTGGTCTAACGGCCAGCCAAGAACCCCTTTGGTCCTTTTCACACGCGATTATTACTATGTGACTTAGATCAAGTGTATAAATGAGAAGAACCCAACAGCGGTAGCTTGTTCGTAGCACAATTTTAAGGATTACAAAACAAACAAACTATATCTTAACCTTCCCAATAGTTAACCCCTCTTTGCGGTCTGGAATATCACTGGGCGTGGATTTGTGACACCCTGGAAGTTCATCTCCATTCCCATGTAGTCTCTCACAAGCTGAGAAGTTTACCAATCCCAGTAGAAAGCATAGCTCAGAATTAACCAATTCGAAGCGTAGTTGCCATCATGGCTATTAAATAGTTAATGCATAGCAAATAGGGATGAACGAAGTTTAGTAACCTTCTACGAAAGAAAGAAGATAATGTCTTATTCACAAAGGACGACAATTCAACTATTCAAGTGCTTCTTAACATCGTTAACAATTTCGGAGAATGACTTTCCTCTGTATAGTACGACAATTTGTTAATGGTTAGCTATTGCCTTACTAGAGGTTCCTTAGTCCTTTATTTTTTCTTCTAGAACTTTCTTTTTTGATTATTCAATTATTCAACAGAGCAGTCGGTGTTCGACTGATTATTTCATCATCTGTATTTCTAATAGATGTCTTATAAATTTCCACTATAAAACGATCCTTTTATTGGAGGGGCTCTCGAGGCGCCTTTAAACGAATGTGGAGTGTCGAACAAGGCCTTAAAAGATCACTTCTAAAAATATAACCGGCACACAAAACATTAAGCCTCACTGCGTAACTTGGGCCACGACGAAATATCATTGAGACCTCGGCGAATACTCATCGTAATCGAAAGGTTTATAGGCTCTTATCTAACGAAGCTGCACAAATTGATATGAGATACTTTCTCAATAGTAAAATTCAAATTCGTATAGAGATCGCATAAAATCAGATAACCATTTGAGAAGCTTACGGTGTATCCGGTAGCAAGTCGGTAAGAGTGAATCTCGTCGAATTTCCAACCTTGTACCTGTTCCAGTATATGAATTGCGGAGCAGGTTCTTGGATGAATAGGATTACGTAGCTCTAGAAAACTCCTATTTTATGCATAATAAAATATTTCCGACAATAATTTCGCATCGATGTGTTTCTAATCTCGTCTAACATTCGAAATTTTCCACGATTAAAGAAGACACACAACGAATGTTTACACGGATATAAGCCCATGCGAGGCACCTTACATATGGATGCGGACCACTATTTTTTAATGTTCAACATATAATTAAAAACCTTGTACATTCGCCTTAAAAGAAACCTGTTTAATTTCGAAAGTAAATAATCCCTAGTTCATTTAATTGAGTTATTCTAACTTGTGTCAATTATGTCTCAATTCTTCCTCTCCGCAACCAGGGTCTCACAAAATACGGTTTAAATTTTCTGCAATGCCTGCAGTACTTTTTCAATGCTCTTATAAGATCGCGAAGAAGCTTGCTTTTCCTGCCTTTCTCATGGATCTAAATCGTTCATCATGATGAAGTTTCAAGCTCAGCACAGAAGCAGGGCATTTGGAGATGTTCCCTCTATTGAATGCGTCTGCGGTCGCTATAAATTCCTAGAGAATGCGCATATTTGAGATCCAATACACTGGACTGGAAGGATTAAAAGGAAAAAGCTCTCGGCATTCATCAATCCATGAGGGATGCGCCATGTATTCGACTTTATTAAGCATCGTTTGGAGGTGATTGAATGTATATCTGGCCTTCACAATAACCGGCGGTGGCCTACCGATGTATCGAGCCAGTGCTGCTATTCTCCCAGACAAGTGCGGTGTCTTCGGTACCAATCTATCGACTCCAGAGGGATGGAAGGCTTGGTGTGTCATGAGCGCAGGGATCGATTCCACATGTGTGTTGCAGGGCGCCTCCGAACACTGTGCGATACCCTCCCTTGGAATGATAAAGGAATAAAATTCTTTGCAATATATTTTAACTTTATTGGACTAGTTTCCTTCGAATACTGTGATATGACGCAGAACAGCATTTTTCATTGATGTGTTACTCCGAATCAAATTTCGTTTTGACGTTCGACGACATTTCATTTGATTCATCTAACTATGTACGATTTGACACTAAGATTAAACCTCAAATGCCTGCTTATTTAGCAAATCAAAAAGTAAGCGGCAAGAGTCATAAATCTTTTCCTAACTTGTTTTCGCAGGGAGAGTTGTTAAAGGTTTCTCGCTGTTGGAACTGTATCTTCGGAAAAAAAATTCAAGAACGAGATAAAATCCATTCTTGACAGTACATTAGTGTATAAAAGAAACTATAAAAATTGCATTATTTTCAAACACACTTGGCTCAAAAGGATGCCGGAATGCCTTCGCATACATTACTGATCTCATGCACACCTCATAGCATCTTATTAGGGCCATCATTATTATATCAAACAGGCCTACATACCTCCACCCACCCTCCCGTGGAGAACTGGAAAGTGACAACCATGTAATCGCTTATTTCTACCCAACTGAGTTGCTTTTCTGTAGGCTGTAAACACAAAATGCAAATCTATTCAAGGGTTTTTTTTCACAGAAATTACCTCGGTATAGAAGTTGTTGGTGACAAATTTGTTAAACGCACTAAACACACTCTTCGTAGAACCACCTCGGATTGCCAAAATAATTCCTTTTCAACATGTCTTTCTCTCGTTTTCCGGTATTTATGAGAAGCATGCTAGTCAAGTCCAAAGTAACCTACTAATCGTCTATCGCAAACGGTCTATTAAATGCATTATAATCTTAAAGTGAAACCATTTTTATCGCCTCATTCGCCAGATTGCCTAGCTCTTCCATCAAAAAAAAATATTGTTCAGCTTTAGAAAAATCAGCAGGACTGACTTTCGAAAATACCATAGCTAAATTGCAACAGTAAGAAATCTGGTTAACCTCTGTTGATCCATTATTAACTTTTGGAGGCCGCCACGATACAGTTGCCGTTTCGCTGCTGATAGCCTCAAGACGAAGAGATTGAGGTACGGTACACGGTTCTAAAGCAGAATGTATCACTGCACAGGGAAAATCACTTGACATTGAAAAGTATGGATATGAAGAATCAAAAGGTGAAAACAGATTTCTCGAGATTTCTCAATACCTGTGTATTCTTGAGCCTTCACGGATTTACCACTGCCGAATCTAGTTGTCGTTGCCAAGCTGAACTCATAAAGAGTAAACGATTTCAATCCAGTCACCAAGTACTTCTCTTCGTTAATAAAATCCACTCGAACCACTTGATTTCGCCGTTGTGGTGTTCTGAATAGATTAGTACTCTCTTCAGATGAACAGTTTGATCAAAAACTATCATGTCTACACAACCAGCTATGTAGTATTTCCCTCTTAAAAAAAAAATTAAGGCTGCTGCTTACGAAGTGTTCGACCTTAATCAAACAGTTTAAAATGACATACATTTATAAAACTTGAGAAAGGCAATGTAAGGCCCTTGGTGGTACAGTAAATAACATAGAGCCCTCGGAAAGAGTAATAGCTGGTTCGAACCTTAACTGGGGTTCTGACTTTTACTCATATCTCAGTAGTACTATAGGTTCATTTCAAACAATATTCTGTGGTGAGAAAAAATTACAGGCAGTAACCAGATGTTGGGAATTGCGAAATTTAGCTTTATCAGTTCCCTTTTAAGATTTATTATAATCAGTACGATATTTTTCTAGATGATTAAGCTAACACAGAACTGTTATAAAACTTCATTCCGCTAATGCTTCGGTGCTTTCGTCTTTTTCAGAGGTACGTTGATCTGAGCAATAAAAGAATAGGGCGAAGGCAACGAAACATTGGTCGAATAAGTTTTATGACAAGCTCGTGTTAGCTTAATTATCTCAGAAAAATACAGTTAGCATACCGATAGCGGCAGATGGGCAGGTCGTATAATAAGAACAGATGACAAATGGACGAAAAGAAGCACAGAGGGATTCTATGAGGATGCATGTGCTTTCTAGGAGAAAAGCCTTCACGATAGGTCGGGGTGTTTGTAACAAAGGTCAATCAGCTGTACTCGCAGCGGCAGTTGTTTTAATGATCTGTGAAATTTGAGGCTGCCATCATGTTAGATTCAAGGCACCACCATGAACCACGATTGCGAGGTAAAGAAACAAATACGAAATACATTGGGATTCGCAAAACTCGTGAAGACTGGTGGTTTAAGTATTTGAGTAAGCAGTGTATTAGTAAGCGTTTACTAACATTCTACTTACTTGAATACTTGGAAAGTCCGTTTTCACGAGTTGTGCGGACTCCGGCACATTTTCAATTCATCTCTTTGCTCCACATTCATCGTCCACTGAGGTGGTTTTATTTGAGCATGGCAGCGAGTGTGGTGTCAATAGCGTGGTCTAAAAAACAGCTGCAGCTGCAAGTACAACTTTGGCTACGAACACGTCCGCCTAACGTTTAGATGGCCGTCCCAGAGAACCTCTGCATTCTCGTGGAGTCCGCTCTACAGTTCTTTTCGTCCATCTATTGTCTGTTCTTCCTCTTATGTGACCGGCCAATCTACGTTTAGCTATCGATGTATATTCTAGTGGATCCCGAAGATGTGACAGATTCCGAAGATCAGAGCTACGTATTCCGGCTACATATTGAGAGAGCCAGTTATATTTCATACGACATCGTTCAAACGTTCGAAGTGACAAGAATGCACATGACAACAGTAAGACAAAAAATAACCTATATAATGGTTCACATTTATGCGATAAAACGCCCTTCATTTTTTTACCCACCATTTTTGAGATGAAATTAATCTCAAATTAGAAAAAGTAGGCAGTGATATAATCGAGTCATGGAACCGTGCCTTCTTTTTCATGTTTCCCATTGCAACTCGAATCTGAGAGAGTGATTCCAGGTGGTTTTTCTCCAGCGGGGGTTAGGGTCTGGGATGGAAACTATGGAAAGGAAAACTTTGGTGCGGACCTTATCCGTTATTAATTTCATAACATGGTCGGAAATTTTGGTGATCCCATCTTCTTAACCATTTTATTTACTGCCTATTCTTTTTAACGGCAGGGTATGTTGCGAAATATAACTTCTATAATTCTGAGATATTTGCAGAACTTTGATGGTGACGGCTGATGGCAAAGGATCGATAGAACTAGCTGAGAGACAGGTGAAACGAAGTGCCGGCATGGTGTGATGGTGAACGCGTTACTCCCCGGAAAGGACAATAGCGCGTTCGTTCCCCACCATAGACACCTGCGGTCCAGAGTTTTGCAAATATCTCAGCAACGTTGTGGTTATAGAAGTTATATTTCGCAACATACACTACCGTTAAAAAGAATAGGTAGTAAATAAAATGGTCAAAATTGTAATTATAGCTGGATAACTTCCTCCATCTGATAGTAAAACGCATCTAAGTCGTAATCATTAGCTTCATCGGTCGGTGGATACCAACTGAACATAGTATTCCTCCTATAAATCCTTGGTGGAAGACAGAAGATGGCCATGGGAGGGAAAAGAATCTCGTAGGAGTCGACGAGATGGACAATGCACGGCTAGATCACAAACTCTGCGCCACCGAAATTTCGTAACGCGATCTTCCCCCCACAGATGACAAAGGTCCCGTTGTTTATTTGGCATATGTCGATCTTCCAACATTTTACTCCTTGTAGGAAGATCACATGAAATTTGAAGCGATCTGTGGCTTCAAGAAAGGCGTGAAGATCAGTGTCTGTGCACAGCGTGCCCATCAAAAACAATCTCTATGGCGCATCATGTGTGCATTCATCATATCCAGTTCCAGTGACGTTCTGCGTAATCCGAGACTTTATGGCTTCTTACCAGTCGTCTCATCACCTGACATCAAAGCACCCAGCGTGCTATTGTTGCTTGGGCAACTTCACCGTCTCTCAAGTGCTGACTTGACCTTGCCAGGACGTATCCAGGTATTCACCACGATATGGATTCGGGAAAAGTATCTTTTCGAAAAAGAATCTTTCGCTCGGTCTTCCTACTTGCTAGTCGAGTTGAAATCAAAAACGAAAGCAGGGATGAAAAAAAATGACAGATCGCTGAAGAACTATGTAGAAGCCGACACTCGCCAATATGTTGCAAGTTTAGAAATTCCACAGGCAAAAAAGAAAACTTAAATCTCTAGGTGCAACAAATTCATCAAAAGCTCTTCGTCTGAGCCTTGATTAACCAATATATTCTGGGAAAGCAAAGTGCCCAAACGTTTGACGAAATTCTAACCAGTTAGGAATAGTACTTTGACGAAGGAAGACGTTGTAGAACCTCATGCTTCGAGTTCCTCAAGTAAAGTGGTCTATGTGTGAAATTGGGAGCCGCGCCTTGTACTGCCGAGTGAGGCTTTTGGACTGGTCAATACCGACAACACGACTTGCAGTATTAGGCCTATTTTGTTGATTTCTCAGCAACATTTCTCTTCTATAGTAAATTCCTAAAGATCCTAGGAGTTGTGACGAATGATTCCAAACGATGAGCACGTGAACTTCCCCACAGCCTTCTTCGACTGTAAGTTTGGCTTAAGAAAGCGTGATTGAATGAAGATTTGAAGATGAAATTCGATTGAAGAGAAACGAAAACAATAGAACGAAAATGAAGAGTAAACACTACCCCTTGAACTTACTGCGATTGTCTAGTAAAATGTTAGAAGTTTTCAACGCACAAAGTCGGTTATTTTATACTAAATTACCCAATATTTCATTGAAAACGAAAGTAGTAAGATAATTACAATAATATGTTTAGATATACATATGTATATATATATATATATATATATATATATATATAGAGAGAGAGAGAGAGAGAGAGAAATATATCATGCAGGTGAAACAGTGAGAAGTCAAAACTCTGCAACAAGAACCGTTGTTTCTAACTGTAAGAACTGAACTGATGTCATTATTTCCGGTAAAATCATTTGACAGTAGAAAACAAATCAATAGCCATTTTAATGCATCACACCATGCAGTGCCTTCGAGAACTAAGTTTGTTCAGAAGGGTGGAAAACAAAAGAATGGAGAGAATTACGGATTTAATCTTGACAAACCCTATAAAACTCATTCTATGCTTCTATTTCCTAAATCCCAGTCCCACTCGTAACAGCACGGCTCTCAGGAAGGCGAAATCACCGAAACGTCAGCTAGTGTTGTATTGTATTGTGTTTTTCTATGGAAGTAAATGTATGCTGTTTAAAAACCTCGCGATTGCTGAACAAGGAAACGACATATTCATATAACCTAAATGTTCTGTATGTTTTATGTCCTACATTCTGCAACCTAAATGCTTCACTACCACATCATGCGGGTCCTTCGTTTCGCCTGTCTCTCAGCTAGTTCTATCGATCTTTTGCCATCAGCAATCGCCCGTTAGCGGGATTGATCTGGGGAGCCCAAATAAGCATTGACCCCAGTTAAGCTGAAGCTATAGTTATAGTCCCAATCTTAATCAAAAGATCGATAGAACTGGCTGAGTGACAGGCGAAACGAAGGACCCGCATGGTGTGGTGGTGAACGCGTTACTCCCCGGAAAGGACAATAGCGCGTTCGTTCCTCACTGCAAACACCTGCGGCCCGGAGTTTTGCAAATATCTCAGCATTATAGTAGTTATATTTCGCAAAATACCCTGCCATTAAAAAGAATAGGCAGTAAATAAAAAGGTTAAGATTGTAACTAAATGCTTCAGTTAATAAATTAATGTAGAAAACTTGTGCAATTTTACACGAAACTTTAATCTCCATGGTTTAATCTACATGTAATGTGCTCTTATCTAAATTTGTACGAACAACAAAAATTTCATGTCAATTATTTTCTGCATATCATTACGATTATACGAACCCGCTTTGTATACGATGCTCTGTTTAGGGCGTGGTTATAAAGTGCACGCCACTGACTGAATTGTTAGACGCGATGAAGGTAATACCATCTTTCGGCTGAGAGGAATGATGTCGAATTATCACAAGCTGAGCGTCGTTGTTGCAGTGATAGTGGCTACCGTCAGCGTCGCGTTGGAGTGGCCTCCGCCATGCAGTGGCATGTCCCGTGTCGTGGCATAGCTGGATCGCAGAAATTCGTAAAGGAAACCACAGCTATGTTTGTACGTAACTCGTGGATTCTCTACCCGTACAGATATTACGATCAGACAGTTGTTGGAATGGACTGGGTAGAAGAGTGTGCACCCGACTCAGGTTATGTTGTTATGTCTTATCATCGGGCTCGTTGTAAGACTTCTCTGGATGTGTAATGTGCTTAGCAATATATACCTACTTTAGTCCATACATCGATATACGCTTCACTTCTGTAACCAACTAATAACGTGTAAGGTACAGGTACACGATCACACAACGAATCAGGGGAGCAACTGCCGCTAAGCAGCTACCTGAAGGTATGTCTTGCAAATGCCCGTAGATGGTATTTGGCGGAAAACAGTACAAAGTAGCGAGATTTCGTAATACAACCATGGTGCTCTTTGTTCTGTAGATCGATTCAGTGACAAGTGGGGGACACACGCGTACGAGGGGCCGAGTGGAAATTTCAACTTGGCGTCTGTGTCGAGTCGGTGGCTCATTGCATTGCAGGTGAACACTATAGTGCACGATCTTTAAAGAAAACTTTGGAAGGGGAAAGTAACCTAAAAAGAAGCTCTGAAACGATTAGCCGACGAAATTCCTTGTAATAGCACTGACCAAGGACTGAGACCAAACCAATTTTTATCGCTTTTACTTCACTGGTGTTTTGTACGGTCATTAGGAAGCAACAAGTATAACCTCGGTTTGTAGGTGAGTGTGTACCAGTAACGTTTTCCCTCGTCAACGTAGAGAGGTGCACTCCAACGAAGAAGCACCGAGTCTGCAGTGGCCTGTGATGCGATAAGATTACGCGGAGGTGCAGGAAGCTCTTAAAGAAACACTTTTAAAAAATAAAACAGAAAGAAGAAGAGTTCATGATTAATTCAGAGATGCACAAACCGTGGGCGATTTCCGTGGGTGTTTGTACCAGATGTTTCAGTGCTAAAATGAGTCGTTATGAAGAAATATCACAATCATCCTAATGTCTCACTTTATACTTCGAACAAGCGATTGTTTGTGATTGAACCGGGGAGGAGTTATCTCATATTTATGAAGGAAATTATTTTATATTATGAAAAGATTTCGAAGAAAAATCGAACAATAATTTGAAGCAAATTCAGTTTTCCTTCAACAAAATTTAAAGCCTTGAAGAGATAAAACATCTTGCCACTATTCCAAATGTTTTATTGCTGTACCATTCATTGGCATGGCCGCGAAATTTAGGAATAAATCATTGAAGTGGGCGCGTGTAGCGAAGTGGTTAGAGGCGCCTTGCAATGCACAAGGGATCGAATCCGCGCCCCAAGCCTATCAAGCCTTCTATCCCTCCGGCGTCGGTAAATTGGTACCAGACTTGTCTGGGAAGATAGCAGTACTGATTAGATACATCGGGAGGCAGCGCGAGTCATTTTAAAAGCCAGATATGAATTCAATCACCTCCAGCGATGCCACCGACAGCTTTATTCTTCTTATCCTTTATTACTCATTAACTTCATAGATGAATAATATCAAACTATGATATTCTACCATAAAAAAATCATCGAGCATTACTAGATAAGGACGCGGGTGGCGCAGTGGTTAAACAACATGCAATACAGGAGTCAGTTCTGATGGTTCGATCGCGCCTCTGGGCTCCACAGTCCAAGATTTCCAAATTGGCGCCATATTTGCATTGGAGGATAATAACACTGACTAGATCAACTGGCAGCACACCACAACTCATTCCACAATCCAAATATGCACTCAGTCACCCCTACGATTCTTGACAAAATCGACGGCGTGGCGTGTTCCTAAGGGACTGAATAAGTGCGAATGTTTGACCCTTTACGCTTTATTATTCCTATTAAAAAATTCTATCCGAAATCCTTGTAAGTTTCGAAGCAGAGACCTGTGAACCTAATATGGTGAAGAGCAGTGACCGTTTCGAGAAGTTTTCGCATTGCCTCCCTCTTCATGGCTTCAATTCGTCGTTGTTGCACTTCTTTCAACCATGATAACGGGTCCTGTAATCTAATAGGACATGAAACATGAAAAACAACAGATAAAATAAAACAGATAAAATTCATTCAACTATTTCCTCCAATAATAAGGAACTCGAGACACACGAAAAAATTAGAAGGATGGTGTTAAGACTGAAATCCTGGGTGTTATTTGAAATCCTCTAACCACTTCTTACTTTTCTAGCTCTACTACATACGATTTAACGCTTTGGATTTAGAGCGTAATATAGTATAAATATTCCTTACCCGATCGTTTCTTCAATTAACCGTCTATGGACGTGAGATCGACATGTTAGTAGGTTCGAAATACAACATATAGAATTTCTTTCAAGGAAAAGAACTGAAGCCTTCGAAAATTTTTTTAGTTCTTCTGTTTATATCGGGTCAATATAGAATCCCAGTAAACCAAGAGTTTTCAGCGTTCAATCAAAATCTTAAACAACCTCTGCTTGTAGCCTTTTTTCTACCCCAGTAAGTCTTCAGGTATAAGATCTAACGAATTAGTTCCTACAACGCCTGAGTGATAATCCTCACATCGTCCAGTCGCCTTCCAAAGAAATGTAGCCGATCGATATAGTAAGCACCAACGATGTCTACACAGGTCGTAGTCAGTACCAATCCAACTAAGATCAACAACAAAACCATCAATATGAATGTCTGATTGCGTGGAACGAGATCTGCAAAGAAAAAAAAACTTGGTGGTCAGGAGGCTTAAAGAAGGCTTTTTGTCTTGATCACGTTACCACCGAATCCAATCGTCAGTACGCTGACCATCACAAAGTAGAAACCATCCGAAAGTGGCCATCCTTCGACAGCCGAAATGATGTGAGAAGCGATCGATATGTAGATGAGGAAAATTCCTAAAAATCTATTTCATCTGGAAAAAAACGTTATGTTAATAAAATTTCACTTGTGATTCCAACGAAGAAACACTTCTAAGAGAAACAGAAAACCACGTCATACAATTTTTCCTCCTTTTTTCCCTTGGTGTTCTTACGCTTATGTCGTCCGTTGCTTGCAAAAATTTTAAAAAATGCCTTTTTTGAAGATTTCAGCTTGTTGTTAAACCATTTTCTTAATTATTTCAATTCTTTCGTTATTCTTGTGCGTTTTTTGAAAGTACTTTTGTGTAGGCGCATGTGGCACAGTGATCGGAGGCGCCCTGCGACACACACATGGGAACGCTCCCGGCGCTCGTGGCTCACCAAGCCTTCCATCCCTCCGGAGCCCAAAAATTGGTAGCAGGCTTTTCTTGAAGGGTAGCAGCACTGGTTCGATATATCGGCAGGCTACCGAGAGTCATTAAAAAGACCAGATATGCATTCAATCATCTCCGACATTCTTAATGAAGTTGAATGCATGGCGCATTGCTCAGGGATTGATAACGCTGAGCCTTATCCTTTATCCTTTATTTTTTATGTATTTTAAATATTTCCTCACCTATAATAAGAAAAAATGGAACTTCGACGAATCGTGCACGTTCCAGATGAGTCCATAGAAATTCAGCAACCTGAAATGACATGTATGTGAAAGCAAAAGTACACAGTGCAGAATGCCTACTTGATTTTCTCTAACATTCCTTCCTTAAGTTTATTCTGAAAAACCATCCGGTTCTCCAACATCTTAAAAGTAGTTCTAACAACATAGATATTGATTAAGCAGCAGTAGGAGGAAATCAATACATCTGTATTGTACAGGGACGCTTCAATTCCCTGTAGAATTTTAGGTTTTTCAGAACCTTGTACTTCACATACCTCGTCCTCTCCACCCGCAATGATCAGCTGTCCAACTTGAACGGAGTCACGTCGCATTTGTCCAGATTTCCATCGTGTATAAGTTTTCGTTAGTTGGTACTTGCATTTTATCATATCAATGTAGAGCTTATTCATAAATTCTGTGCAAAACTTAGCCTAAAAAACGTTTTATAACGGTTCACTGAGGAAGAAGACTCTAAAAAAGGTAAGTAATAGTGGAAAAGTTATGCATCTGCTGCGGTAGCAGGAACTTGCCTAGATCGCTAGAAGAACCATAAACTTACGAGATCAGCGAGGGTAATCAAAAATAGAGGTATTCCAAAAAATAAATAGGCAAGGCAGAACATTCGTCCAACATAAGAGTCGGGAGCATCCGTACCGTAACCTGAACAGATTCTCATTGCACAATCACTATAATAAATACGGCTTATAAACAAAAATTCAACAGCTAACAAACACCAGATTTCTGTAATGAAGAAGTTCTGTTGAAACATAAATTCTGCTTCCAAAACGTTCAAAGGAAAACGAAAACACCTATGGAGGTTAGTGTAGTGGCAGCAAAGAAGAGATTCCATGTGACATTTGACAGTGGATGACTGTGTATTGATGCCTAAAAATCAAATAATCGGTAAATCCAGTGACGCTCAAGTAAGGCAGTAAAACGCTCAAAAAGCTCTTCCGACTTTGTTATGCACAGATATGAGCACTTTCACGAATCTGAGTTCATGCTTCACACAGTCTCACCGTAAATTCCCGGTTCCATTGATAAGGACTTCTAGCATAGATGTCATGAAGATTGTCCACCAACATCGTGTAACGATCCTCAAGCATCGAATTTTGTGATGAGTTCATCGATAGAACAAATCGGATGAAGTCTTTCTTAGTTCTGAAAGTGTCAGTTATTTTTCGTGATGTTTTTTCACAAAAACAGGAGATAACTCTCTTCTGACACCAGTTCACTGGTTCGCAACACTAACCATATTACGCATAGGAGTGGCTGAATCATTTAAATATAGGGAATAAGTTAAAGCTTATATTTAGTCGGTTACTGACGAGCTTAAAAGTCACTATGATGTCTGTTGCATTATTCATATTAGGACCATGCAGGTGTTCATTTTCAATCTAAAATCTTTTGAGAAATATTGGCCCCGTTAAAAGACATTTATTCTACTACTTTGTGGACATGTCTTATCAGTGCCTTTGTTTTCACAACAAGTGGTTGTATTCGAAGAAAATCAGTAACTCTGCCCATTGCAGAAGATATGAAGCCCTAACTAAGAAGGTAAGAAGTTGTTAACGAAGTGCTTCACCACCAGGAATACAAATCATCAAATTTGCCAAACGGCTGTGGTCACATATACATGTATATGGCATATGTATATATATACACATGTATATGTGTATATTGTACATGTATATATATATATGCATATATATACGTCAGTTGAATAATGAAGGATTTCGTTCTAGGTTTCACTTCATCGAACCGCCTCTTAACCGATTTATAGAAAAAATAGGAGTAAAAATTTAAAGTCGTGCTTCCGACAAAGGCAGATTAAACGAGGTCGTTCAAGAAGATTTAAAACGTAGTAAATCTTCTCAATATACTTCCAGGCATCCGATATTCCATCCAGGTCAGTTGAAAGACGACAAAACTCTAAAAATCAATGGAATGCATATCGGCTTGTTGGCCAGATGATCACATAATTTGCAAAAGACATTAGCAGTAAGGATTCTTCATTTTCCTGTTGGGCTTTGTTCTGCGAACTCGCCGCTTAAATGGTGCATTGTGATCCTGAGTGCCTTGCTCAATGACTTCACTCCATTTCTCCTCCCTCCTACCAAATTTACTATTTTCCTGATGCTCCCTAAGACCACATACTAGTCAAAATGAATGATGTACCATTGTTCTTCCACGGCACGAAGATTTAACACTTACTAATGAGATCGTTAACGCACTATGGGCATCAGCGATGCAAATTTGGCACACGTCTGCACGATCTTGCGACCAGCCTACCTTCGCTAGTTTTAGATTTTTATCACTTTAGGTGAGAATAATTCATGGAAATCAAACCACTTCACCACCTCAATATTCCGCTTTCTCTCTACTTCTTCTCAAAGCGTGTTATCGCTTTTCCTTATGATAAAAAGTAGATATTAAAAATCGACGTTGATATTAACTTTAACTCATTAAATTTCATTTTGTCAAGAAAATTTCTCCTACATTTTGCACTTTGCCTAGAGCTTCCATCTTCATTACCGACAAATCACGCTCCATGCTGTCACCTCTATGCCATCAGCAGCAGCTCAGTCCTTATTTTTTCGGTAGTCATGCCACCAACGAAAGACACCACAAATGGAGGAGCCAGAGCTTTCATGAGTTCTTTTGCATACCGCAAGTACATATTTGACTGCAATCTCCAATATCATTTCAGCTTATGAGTAGTTCAGGTGGCTCGTAGCTTCGTTCTGGAAGATATTGTTTACTTTTCCTAGATTTGCAAAGCTGATGAGAAAACAGAACTGTAGCTCTGGTTTAAGGAGCTTCACATTTCACCATGCTGTTCAAATGAAACCGTATAAACACTCCTAGACAACTATCGTGGTCTTCGACGTTCCACATTTCGTGTAAGCCCCCACACCAAATGTTATTTTCGACGCTAGCGCAACTATGCGTTTTTGCCTTTTTTCTCTCTCCATAAATTAATTCAAAAGCAAAGGACTACGACTTCATTGAAAATCTTAGACCTCCTAGAAAGCACACTAAGACTTCATCGTGCACTTTCTGTATCCCCTCTGGAAAACATTACTTGGAGGAATAAATTCGTCATACTTAATCATCTTTCCCTCAAACATCTAATCAAATTCTTCACCTGCAAACACTCGAACACAAACACATAGAAAATCAATATTCCGATAGATGGAATCTTCACAGAAGAAGTAATGTACTGTTAATGGCTAAACCTTCTGAGTGGTTATCTGAGAAACCTAATCGCAAGGACCTTCCTCCGATCTGCAACTTTCCTCCGATCTTCAAAGATCGGAAATTATCTATGGATACGATGGGAACCGTCAGGCAGCGCTTTCTCGATTCTTCGGCGGAAAAATTTTGCCATGTACAAATTATGTTCGACCCCTTCCACCGTGACAACAACCATCCTACGGTCCAAAGAAGTAAGTGTAATAGCCAGCAAATTTCATCAAACGTTTCGACTTTCACACCAAAATCGCTGTTAGTCCTTACAAATATATTCGTTAATAACTCGTATATAATGCTGAGATATTTGCAAAACTCCGGACCGCAGGTGTATGCGGTGGGAAACGAACGCGCGCTATTGTCCTTTCCGGGGGTACCACACCATCCGGGTCCATCGTTTCGCCTCTTTCTCAGCTAGTTCTATCACCTGCGCTACTGCCCGGAAAGGACAATAGCGCGCGTTCGTTCCCCACCGCAAACACCTGCGGTCCGGAGTTTTGCAAATGTCTCATCATTATGTACCAATTATATTTCGCAACATACCCTGCCATTGAAAAGAAAAAGGCAGTAAATAAAAGGGTTAAGATAATAGTTAATGGTTAGTATATAGATTCGAGGAGATGGCCCGCTAAGGAAAACCTGACTCGACACGAAGACGAAGCCGCCACATCGAGACGAAGAACAAGCGTGAACTATCTACTCGGATCAATGGCGCTAATGAAGAGGAAGGTGTCAAAACGTTTGCCGAAAGTAAATATGCTTATCAACCTCGTGTAAGCTCATCAAAGAATGAATAATATTTAGTTTCCCTAAGGAAGTCACTAAATGATTCAGTACAACGGCAAAATAGCTCATTTCTTCCACGAATTTCCGCAAATAGCATCGTCAACCACAAATAACATCGTAATCGTCAAACCTCTACTTAAAATAATTAAGCAAGTCTAGAAAATAGTAGTGTAATAACCTCTCAAGTAGTTCAGCATCATGATTGGTGTGATCGCTGTACTTGATGACGGTGAGGATCCATCCACCGAAACCAGCGTATACAAGTGAAACGAGTAGTAGTGTGACATGCGGTAGGGCTAGTCGAAGCACATGAAAATGACGTACATCGAAAGCAGAAAGCTATTTGTAACTGTTCAATGGGGAAATTTTTATCAAACATGCCTTGGTGCATAGTGCTTTATAAACTAATTGATGCATACACTTTAAAAGTCCAACAAAACAGTTGCCCTTTGTAAAATGATCGCAGTCCTTAGTAAAAGCGTTCGCTTAATCCTGCACATATCTTTGCCTCCAGAAAATAACGGGAAGCATCCTTTCTGATTGATAAGTAAGATTTTTGATACGCTCACAACAATGGATCTTTACGGTGACTAATGTTTCGGCGATATCGTCATGGTGATCTTCAAGGACACAATGATTGTAGCATTTAACTGTGTTGTAGAAATTGAACTAAATGAACTAGTTTCATCTATGAAGATGCCGATGTCACCAGAATATCAACGACTATACAGATCTACTATTGCATTTTTTGTCACCTTACCAGTAAATGAGAATACTGTTAAGTAGACCTGAGATTAAACACGGAAGCGATTCTTTAAAACAAAAGGTTCTGAAACTGGTTATCGGATTCTTAAGGCGAATTTAATTCGAACACTCTTAGAAATAGTCATGCAACAATAAGATGTGAGCGAATGTTCTTAATGAGCAACTCTAATCTTGGCTGAGTGTGTCGATGGAAGGAGTAGAGTAAGAGAGTGTAGCTGCATTACTTCCATTAAATTATGAGCTCTACGTCTATGCGTAAAAGTCGATTTTTTTGAGTTTTCCCTTCCGGTTCCCCTTTGGTCTCTCTTGATTACCTTGCATTCAACTTAAACTGTTTTCGATCATCCAGAAATTCTTGCGCTGAAGAGGTATATGGTCTCACGAGTCGAAATTCTACCAGCAATAAAAAAATCTGGTTTAACAACCACAATGTTGCTGAGATATTTGCAAAACCCCGGATAGCAGGTGTCTGTGGTGCGGAACGAACGCGCTATTACTTTTCCTATGCGCTATTACCTTTCCTGAGGCTAACGTGCTCACCATCACACCTTGCGGGCCCTTCGTTTCGCCCCTCTCTCAATCTGGTATAACTCTCTATGATTCTAGGTGACTACCTCTGAGGCTACCTGGGAATTACTGATGCAGCAGTGTTACCGTAGAGTGTCAACCACTCTCGTCATTCAAATTGCTTTATCGCAGTATGCACTTTTTGGACGACTTGCTTATTTGTACTTTATAAAAGCTCCAGAAAACAGACTTTTTATGCCTAACGTCACCATCTCTAGTTCAACGAGGAAACAGCTTCAAAGTGTAAACCGAATAAGTTTTAATAGTACCTTCAAAATGAAAAAGACAAGAAGAAACGATTCCACAAAGTTAAGAACTTATTAAGAATTATTATTACTTCTTTTTCATATGGCCCGTCTTCACTTCTGCGGTGCAGATCCCAGCACTTCCCACATTCCATTCGTTTCCTCCCATCCATTGTCCACGAAGATCTTCCAACTTTTATGACTTCCAGTTAAGAATTATTTGAAAATTTATTTATGTGTTCCTATGAACTGATCTTGTTGAGCCGACGCGAGCTTGGTATAGTTGTTGCCGTTGTTGTGTTGTTGGTTGTGGTCGATGGTTGACGTTTCGGCGATTTCACCTTCCTCAGAGCCTGGACGTATTTGACACAAGAGCAGTTTCGATGGAACGAAACCAAAGAATTAATGAGGATCTAACATATAAATAAACGCCATATTGATCAGAAACTACTCACCGTGCCGTTACGAGTGGGAGTGACGGCGTGTTGTTCACGTGGAATGGAGAACGAAGCCCACTCAGCTCAAAAAACCATTTTGAAATAAGGCGCCAGATCATGTGTGCCAGTGAGGCATTCGTCTTTTCAGTTCATCTCCGGTTTTTTGGAATTTACCCAAAACACCTCAAGAGTCCTGCGTATTGATGTTTTTGATTCATATGCTAAGATCCGGACAGTCACTTCAAAATCATCGCCGTTGTGCTTCTGTGTCCTATGTGAACCTAGAGGAGTGCTTTCACGAATTCTAACTTTCCCATCTAGATGTTCTTCGATGGGATGATATAGACGAGAAAGACAAACTGAGAACTGGGTTCCATTCTTAAACATCCAAGCAAAGCTCTCAGAAAGTGACTATATAACGAAATGGTATCGTAAGCCAAGTGGTAACAACATACTAGTTCACTACCTCTCCTTTCATCCTTCACACATGAGAAAAGCACTTATTAAAAAACATGTGCCGAACGGCTAAGAATGTGTCCATAGGAGAAGAGAAAAGGAAGGAATCGCAAAATCTGGCACGAAAAACAGCCATCTCCATGGCCACGAAGTAGAAGCCACTCCGGTTAGAGGAAAACGTTTGGTAGTTTCCCAAAATAATGTTTCGGACGTAAGTAAGATCCCTTTTAAGTTACCCTTCATGTCAAATGAAGTAAGTTGCGCCATTAAGAGATGCTTAGGAAAAAGTGGTCTTGAAAATTACGCAATGATTATTGACATCCCACCTTACGTCGTCAGCTAGTTCGCAACCGTCTCTATGATCGTTTGTGCAGCTCAGAAAACTGTATGATCTGTCCAAACAGGAGAGACGGAGATTGGATGAGTTCAGATACAAGATACTTGGTCACATGCAACTCATACGATGAGGAATACACAGGGGAAACGGATAGACCGGTTTATGTCTGCATAAAAGAATACTTAAATGAGAAAGTGAAAATCCGTCAAAGAACTCCCCTAGATACACATAGAGCACAAAAGCACAATGGCAATGATTTTAAAGTGAATGCACGGATCCTAGCGCAGGAATCAAAAACATCAACGCACGAGACTCTTGAGGAGTTTTGGATAAATTTTAAAAAAGCAAAAATGAAACGGAAAGGCGAATACCTCACTATCACACGGGACCTGGTGCTCTGGGTGGGTCTCGCTCGTCATCCCACATGAACAACTCGTGGGCAGTCCCACTCGTAACAGCACGGTGAGTAGTGTTTGATCAATATGGCGCTTATTTTTATGTAAGATCTTCATTAATGCTTTCGTTTTTTCCACCGCACTGTTAAGCTATTCTTGTACAAAATACGTTCAAGATCGGAGAAAGGCGAAATCGCCGAAACGTTAGCCATCGACCAACAACACGAACAATAACGACAACGACAACGACAACGACAACTTATACCTACTAAGCATCAGCTCAACAACATCAGTTCATAGGAACGTATAAATAAATATATCGATCGTTTATGCCGAGGTTTATAGTAAGTCGGCGGCCTTTTGGGTTATTAAAAAATCAAATTATTTCATAAAGTCACTTAAAGAGACCGAAGTTGAAAGAAAACTGAATTTTAAAGAGTAAGTCAAGGTTATAAGGCAACATTACTCTGAGATAAAAGACCAATAGTAAACGGAAACACACGGTCGTGAGAAATGAGAACGGTTATGAAAACGAATAAGTGGGGCGCGAACAACGTTGTCCGGATAAGTGGCGCTGTTGAAAGAGCTCCATTTAATGTTAAGCCAGTATGAGATAACACAGTGGAAATGCATTGTTTAGACGAAAAAATTCTAATAAATGAGTAAAAAGCCACATAAAATAAATTGAGAGCATAAAATAAATCCCTGGATGATTCTACCTCAATGCCTAGAACGGAAGTCGAGCTTGAAACGTCGTTCACAAAAGAGCAATGGTGTTCATTTTAAAAGAATGTTCATATGTAGGTGGTGTGTCTAGAAATAAGGTCTCAGCGTTCATCCATCTCTGGGGAATGCGCCATGCATTCGACTTCATTAAGCATCGCTGCAGCTGATTTAATGCATATCTGGCCTTTACAATGATTTGTGCTGGTTTACTGATGTGTGAGACAGTGTTGCTATCCTCCCAGATAGGTCTGCTACCAATTTGCCGACATCGGGTGAATGGAGAGCTTGGTGAGTCTGGGACGCGGGGATCGATTCCATGTTTAGTGTAGAGCGCCTTCGACCACCGCGCTAAGCGTGTTCTGCGTTTCAAAAGATATTATACCAATAGGAATCAGGATTTCGACATTGCGTTTAAAGAATCTCGTTGTTCCTAGGATACAAGATCTATTTAAGGCCTAGTAAATTGGTTAGGATTAAAACGTACCATTGAGACAAGAAGGTATGGGATGCTAAGGAAAGCATAGTCTATATCGAATCAACACTGAGATAAATACACTTTCAAATATCATCTTCAACATTTCATATTAAAAGAATTTGTAAATTAATGGGTAGAGCTACGTCAAGAAGTAGTGAGCAATGAACTCGAAAATGCCTCAGATTATTGAAATGTGAGAGTACATGAGAAGTTGACATTGTAAAAGTCACTGGAATGGAACCCGATAGTATTCTGTTCCATTAGCCCAACAGCGCAGAGCTAGTGGTTGAACATAGTTCCTTTCAAAAATCTTTACTACCATAGAGACCAATATGTCTACACCTTAATTTTGGAATGTATTGGCAATGTAGATGCATCCTTGGACATTCGAGAGTCCCTTGCTGCAGTGCGCCATCATACACATTAAAACACCGGCATATTTCTTTTTGATTTTTGATCCTTGAATGCCTCTACGATCTTAGATACCAGGTCCTTCGCGTAGATTCGTCAAGTTCTGCGAATCGACTTAAGCCAATGATTCCATGATTCCCCAATGATAAACTGTTTTCATACCACTTCGTTCCACCGATAAGCGACTACTTCATGTTTTCCTTTAAAAATATAGAGAAAAATATTGATTCGTCATCAGTATCCATTTTCCATTCAAGAGTTACCATAGACTTACAATTTCCCACAATAGTGGATAGTGGGTGAAATCAGAAGGTGACATTCCAGTAGTTTTTTCATTAAAGTATTAAGAGGCTTACATAGAAGCTAGGGTTAAGTGTGGTCACGAAAAGGTGCATAACTGCATAACTAACAAATAGAGCATTTTGTTCACCAAAAATAACTCCTACTGGAAATTCCTGATATCGAACAAATGTTTAAAGAAATACCTAGACAGTTGGATGGTCCGCTTTCACTGAAGAGCAAGTGCCAGCATATTTTTCATGTTTTCGGAGTTTTGATGGTTTAGCGATTGTGATTTCCTGGAGTCCTGAGGTTAGCCAAGCTAAACTTTACCCTAGATCGTCACCACCACAGCCAGTCACCGCCTTTGTGGATTAGAGGGAGATTTTCCACCACGCGATTAGTTTGAAACCAGGACGCTGGTGGATCCTGGTATTGGTTCACTCTTAGCCGGGCTTCTTGATGGAATATTTGGACTCCTTTTCAGCTTGGGAGGCCCTGTTGAGGGGATGAATCTCCGCACTGTACTACATCGCAGCTCTATTAACAATAAATAAATACAAATAAATAAATACAATACAAATGAATGCTCTATTAACAACTTAATGTCAGCTTATGTTGGACACAGTAACTTATAAAAGCTATCATCGGTATCACAAGCTGAAGTAAGTACGCGGAACGAGAACGGTCTCTTAACGAGATTAATCGACCATTAACTGAACCAAGTTCTTTCAATTTGCGGAAATAGCCGTCAACAATTAAAGTTGCAAGATATGCTGTCAACATCGAGATTTTAACTTTAGGCCAGCTGATTTTGAAATATTTATTGTCAGAACACTAATGCTGTTTGAAAGAAATAGAACAAACTCACCTTCACATCGATCGAATGCCACTTTTTTAGACTAAAGAGCGACATCTCATATTTCATTTCAGTGTTCAAATGCTTTCAAGCTTCAGTAAAATTATTCTGACAAACGCTGAACTGAACAATATGAAGGTTGTCTAATTCAATCAAACTTTGATGGAATCCCTATCAAGCGGAAATAAATGGAGGAATTCAAGAACTACGTTCAAGAACAGCAACGTCATACAAAACCGGAATGACCAATTAGTACTGTAATGAATTGTGCTTCTACAGAAAAAGGATGAAAAACCTCCATGCAGGTTCAAACGATTCAAACTGACCAGTTGTTTGGTGAGACCGAACTGTCCAGGTGTGAGCTCGGAGAAACGACACAAACCGCTCTGCATTATACCGCACATCTCTCGGTCACTTCTTTTTCGAACCTTTGATGTCACAGGGTCTAAAAACTCCTACATTTGACGATCTTTGACTATACTAACCTAAATGGAAGCTTGTCCACTGAAAAACATTAAGGCACATGTACATCAATATTCTGAATGAAGATGAAGGATGGAAATCGTTAATGAATGCTCTATCGATTCGTCAGGGGTGTGTCGGGCAATCGTTTTCGAGTCCATTAGTCCATTTATGGACTGGGTAAGGATCACTGCTCAATTCGTAGCCATTCTAGAAGTGACAAAATATCTTTGTCGGTGATCGAGATCGATGATATTGCCGTTAACAGCATGGCGTCGAGTCCTCCAACGTGATGTACGTACCCATAGTACTGAGAACATAACTGCGGTTAGGCCTTCTTTGAACTCGTATTGAAAAAATACAGTGATTTTTTTTCTGCTTTAATGATTTCAGTGATTTTTAATGCTCGTTGTAAAGCTCGTAATAACTTAAGGAAGCTTTAGAAATAGTGAAATGTCATGCGAATTGACTAAGTGGAAAAGCTGAAAAAATGTCCTCATTCGACTTCCTTTAATCCTCAGTCTTGGTAAATAACTTGCTCCCTGTCTATCGGAAACGATAGCAGCCAGACGTGGTTGTGGGTTATGAAAGATAAACATTTTCCATTAGACGAATCTAATGGCATGATCAGTCTATCGCTTAAAAAAGTGATCTCTTAGAAAATGTTACTTAAAGACTCTTACCAATCAACGTACACTGAAGTGAACCACGTACACAATACGCTTCTAGGAGCTTTTGCTTAAAGACTTTTGCACCAAAAACGAACACCTCTAATAAAGCCATTGTTCAGCTCATTGTCTAAACCTCTCTGTGAGCTTTACTTTCGAGCACGCCGTAATGAATTTTAAATCTAACTTTTAAAAAGGCTAACGAAGAAGCCAATGTTCAGGATTACCGGATCCAAGAGTTTCTTAGAAAATTTGTACACCTCTTCTACCTTGTACTGCACTCTTTAAAGAAAGTATGAGAACAAAAAAGCATCTCGTAGCCTCATGTTTTAGGAAGAAAAAGTTATTTCTGGTATGTAATAGAGGGTGAACTGATACAATATGAATACATCTTGTAATAGTACCCATGATCGACTTTCCATTAACCTCGGCGTTGAATTATGAATTCGTCGTCTTCTCCCTCAGCAATCGCGAGGTTGTTCAAAAACATGCGTTCATTTCCATACAATAACACACATGCAACACAATCGTAGCTGATGTTTCGGCAGAATCGCCTTCTTCAGAGCCTGGAATGGTACAGTAATACGCAACTTACTAGGTCAAACGCTTCAACAGCATAAACAGAAAGATGAAAATCTGCACGACAATTACAAGATCTTCGGCTTCTCGAGAAAACTCACCGCTTTTTCACCTGTCTTCCATCGAGGAAGAACAGCTGCTCAGAGTCGCATATGGTTGACGACTGCACCTCCCCACACCGACGATCGATACGAAGGTAAGGGGCGAGGTCATACATGATCTCGGGGCATTCTCTCCTGCTGCTCATTTTATGGTTTTTGGCATTTATCCAAAAAGCCTCGAGGAGTTTGCGCGTTGGTATTTTAGGATCCCGTGCGAGAATAGCGACTTTTATATCAAAACCGTCTCCGCTATGCTTTTGTATCCTATGCGTCCCTAGCGGCGTGCTTGTTTTGCGATTGAAGCGTTTGACCTAGTAAGTTGCGTATTAGTGTACCCTTCCAGACTCCGAAGAAGGTGATTCTGTCGAAACGTCAGCTACGATTGTGTTGCATGTGTGTTACTGCATGAAGGTAAACGTATGCTGTTTAACAACCTCGCGATTGCTCAGAGAGAAAACGACGAATTCATAATGCCAATACAGATTTTTCCCGGTAAGAAACCTTTTAGGCTCTTCGATCGACGACTTAATCTAGGATGACAGACATTTGAGTGAGTGAAAGGAAAGAGAATTGAATGTAGAAATATTTTGTTATATGATCTTATAAACTGATCTTCTTAAGCTGATGCGAGGTTGGTACAGGTCATCGACCAACAACATCAACAACAACGACAACGACAACGACAACGAAGACCTGTACCAACCTCGCACCAACTTAAGAAGATCAGTTTATAAGATCACATAAATAAATATATCAACTATCTATGCCGAGGTTTATAGAAAGTCGGTCTTTCGAGTTATTAAGAGATGAACGTAGAAAATACTTTTTGTGAAGGCAAATCCGTTTAGGTGAGTATGGCTGACTGAGCTGTTGTACATGCTTCAGCAACATTGGCGATTCTCGCGGGAAATCAGAGACCTATTAGGAGAATCTCGGCATCGCTCCTCCCGTACTCCTCATGAACTCAACAACACTGAAAATAAGTGGAATCTGGCGAAGTATAGATCCGAGGTAAGAAAAGAACAGTGAAAATCTCCTCATAGCAAAACTGATCGTAGAGATGACTAGAGAAGGAACTGGCTCGTCTTTGGCAAAAGGATAAGAACTAATGAAACCTCTGATGATATATGAACATTAGAAACCTCGAATAACTAACTTGAAATATAAATAAGGAATTGCAAGCAGTAGCCTAACAAATGAACGTCTGTACAAAATAAGAATCAGTGAAAGTTAAGCGACAAGACAGTTCCTTCCTGACCGACTAACAAAACTATGGACTGGCTATCAGAGTTTCAAGGATGTTCTTCACTCATTGGCAAGACTAAACGTGAACTTTCAGCCACAATAATTCGTTCAGTATATTAGTAAAGCTTTTACAGATATGGGTTCGCTTTCATTTTATTCACTGTATAGACTCACTAAAGGAAAAAGATAGAGCTCTCGGTGTTGATCGACCCCTGAGAGGTGCGGTACTCATCCCATTTAATCAATTCAATGGAGATGGTTCAATGAACAACTGGCTTGTATAATAACATTCGGAGGTCTACTGGTGTATGTTACCAATGTATTTATCTTTACAGACAAGTCGGCTACCAATTTTGCCGACCCTGAAAGGATGGCAAACTTGGTAATCAGGGCTCTCGGGATCGAACGTTGTTCTTCTGGGCTAACTGAAGACAGACAATATCGTTTTGAGCGGGGTTCAACGCGTGTTTCGTTAGATTCGGCAGCAGATAAAAGAGTAAACGTGTTTTCAGTTTAAACATCGAGAAATTTACTACAAAGTAACAGTCTAAAAAAAAGACCTAATTCGACTGAGAAGGCACTCAATTCAAATATCTCATGCACGTCAGCCGTCGTCCGTTATGCTTTCACTCTCACTACACTTCCTCATTTTAAAGAAACACGGAGTTTAAATCGAATAGTCAGTGAGTTAATTTGAAAACGATACCAGATCTGTAACAAGGTTAATATGGTTAGATATCACCACACGATATTCAGAGAAAGGGATGCTTCACCTCTGGTTTTTATCAACGATCAGAAAACTGATTTATGGACCATCGGCTCTGATGAAGACGAAACCGTCGATACGCTAGCCAAATAAACATTTTATCGACTTCATGTAAGCTCAACATTATAAGTACATTCGATTTATATCTCCTACATCTTCGACCCAACAATGTCGCTTGGCTTAAAGAGGTGTACAATTGAAAATCACATTTTTGTCAATCCTTATTTAGCCCTTTTAGCTAAAGTAGTTCCGCGAGCGTCAGATTTGTCGTCGAACGTTTTTTATTACGCGACAACTCGTTCTCTACTACATAGCTCTATGTTATTGGTTTCTTGGAAAAAAATTTATGGATCATTGCGCGTCGTTTGATGTAATTGAATCCACAGTTCAATGAAAAGTTTGCCACTAATTAATTGAGTGAATCACAAAGGAGGAACCTTCGCCGTGTGGGCGACATTCAAAGATCGATGTATGAAGAAAAAGAGAACCATAATCACATGGAAAGAAAGTGCAAAGGGCAGTTTTACATATTTTTCAGTTCAGTTCCAATGCAATAGCGCGAAAAGCCTTATAATGTCATCAAGCCGGTTTTTCGCATTGCATGGAACTCGCTTGCATCATTACTCCTCCATCATACTGTAGTCGCATTGAAGAGCAGATTAGGCCGAATGGACGAGAATATAAAAAGTTGTTGGAAAACGGAATGAAAGCGATTCTCAAACAATGTAAGCATAAGAAAAATTTCTAAAAGTATGACAATTTCAGAGAACAATCGCAAAAAAGGGAAATTCAGCTGTCACTTTGGCAGATCGGTCCTCAACCAACACAACTTCATTGAGAATCTTTAATTGATAGGAAACCATAATAGCAGTAAATTGATGCTGTGACAAGAAAGTATTAAGACAAAACGACAGTAAAACAAAACTATAAAGAAGTCGAACTGTAAAAAATCTTCCAGCTCCATTTCGTAACAGATCACCATCGAGCAGTCGATCGAAGCATCGGAAGATTCCCAGAGTGGGAGAACCTCAATCTCAATACAGCCAACTTTCCAAAAAGGCTGATGACTAACTGTGGGAAGAACCTAGATGCATGGTTATCTCGCAATTTCGGATAACTCACGCACAACCAGCATTCACCGTATTAACGAGCATGAAAGCTTGGCGCAACGCTTGAAAGGAATAAGATGAATTCAAGAAATACTAGAACCTATATATCGCGATAAATGAAGACTGGTCATTGATCTTAACTCTTTTATTTGCTGCCTTTTTCTTCTTAATGGCAGGTTATGTTGCGAAGTATAACTCGTATGAAATGCTGAGATATTTGCAAAACTCCGGA